TCCTCCATCTTAGATATAATAGTGGGAGCATACCTAGCCAACGAATCAAACTGAAGATTGTTCTCCCGAACACTCATGTTACCCTGCGAAGTGTCAAGAACCTATCAACTTTGGCCCGTCTAAGCTCTTGTGGTAGATAATGTCGAATAAAAGCTTCTGTAAACTCCTGCCATACTGCTGGAGGGGCATCCTCACCTCTGGACAATTCCCAAGACTCGCACCAATTAACTGCAATGTCTTGGAGTCTATAGGAAGCTAGCTCAACTGACTCAGTCGTAGTGGCCTTCATTACCCTCAAACTCCTCTGCATTCTATCAATAAATACCTGAGGGTCCTCATTTGGATCTGCCATAGTGAATATCGGAGGGTCCAAATTAATGAAATCACGAACCCTCGCACTGACGGACCTATCTGGATGACCAATACCTACTTCGTGACGTCGAGCATGTGCGACTACTAATCGAGTTAATAGTTGAATAGCATCTCTCATCTCCTGACCCGGTGCATCTGGCTGAGGGGTTAAAAGTACAGGGGTGGGTGCTGGAGCTGGTGCCCCTCGGAGCCCTTCCGGAGAGGGCGGGGTATGTGAAGTCTGAGATGGAATCTCACTATGAGACTCTCCCCAAGCCCTGGTAACTCGTGGCGCTCGACTAGTAGTCTAACCATCCATGGACTTTCCCTTCTGGGCGGCTGTAGTCTTCGGAGGCATTGCTGAAAACATAACATATCGTTAGGAACATGAATTCTTATATCGCACGATCTAAGATAAGAAGAGAGAATAACATTCTATATGTCCTATAGCCTCCTGTCTATAAGTGTGGTGCACAACACACCCATAAACAAGACTCTACTAGACACAATCTGTAGATAAGAACTGCTCTGATACCACTTTTGTCACGACCCAAACCGATGGGCCGCGACGGGTGCCCGAGTCCTACCTGTCGAACACCCCTGAGCATGCGACTAATATATGAACATGAATAACATCTGCTGAATTACGAGAATAACATACATAAGGGAAATCTGCCCAAAAGACATATGTACATATACGTGCATAATATGTAGGGCGAGCCGACAAGGCTGCTATAGACGACTATATACCCAAAACTGGAAGCCGACAAGGCCACATACTATCCAACTGTACATAACTGTCTAGTGACCTCTAATAGAATATACAACTGTACAAGGACGGGATTGGGCCATGTCATACCCATATATGTATACAAGCATATCATACCAAAATCAAAAGCAGCTCTGGATCAAATGGAGCACTCCAACTCTCGTTGATCAAGGATCCTAATAAGGGGGACTGTCAGCTTGTCTACCTGCACTTGCGCGCATGAAACATAGGCCCCAGTAAATAGGGCATCAGTATGAATAATGTACTGAGTATGTAAGGCATGAAAATCAGTACATAAAAGACATAGATGAAACATGGAATAAAGAATTCTGCCTATAAGTCTAAATAACTTTGTAAGTCCTGAAACATTTATAATGTCATGCACGTGCGTGTAAATATCGTGTCATGCATAGGTATAGGTATACATAACATCATCAAGCCTCTGAGGGCATCCCATCATATCATCTCGGCCATTGTGGGCAATATCATCAACATATACCAGCTGATCAGGTGGTGGTGCGTATATAATGTCGTAACCTTTTCTCATATTCCATATACATATAATATACATATATACGTGTATATAACGCCATCTGGTCATGGGTCAATGTACATGTATAAATGCATGAAATGCATAAGAAATACGTTAATAAGATTTCTCGGAATGTCATAAAAATCAATATGCCTTTCGGATAAACTTTATCAAATACGTATTTTTGTGAGACCCATGAATAGAAGATATAATAGTAATTCACATGGGGAATCAAGAATATAGACACCCCTAGTATTTCTATGAATAGAGTCATTTATAAAAGTTGCGTATTTTGCTCGTTTTATTTGTATTATTTGGATCATACCAAAAAGACAGAAGGGATAGCCTTAACATACCTGGAGTAGGGAAAAAATCGTATGATATTATTGAGACGGATTACACCATACTCTCTTAGAATTGCAAAATCCCGTTGTTATTACGCAGTACAATTTCGTATAAATTTCTTACAAATTTAAGAAATGTCGTCGCTATGAAGTCTCATTATGAACTTCAAAAATTCCCTCACCTTCATTCCTTGTCTTTTCTTTCTGTATAAGTCCTTGCAACAAATGAATTTGATAACCATACTTGTTGAAATCTCTGTTTGAATTGGAGTCTTTGTTATTTTTTAAATTGTTGAAAGAGACGTAGTTTCATATTGAACCATAATTAGAATCTTTACTATTCTTTAAATTGTTGAAAGATACATATCTATCTTTGAATTAAAAGGCCTTATGTTGAATTGATTGCCACCTAACCCATAATGACTAAGAGTCATATGGTTTGGTAGTGGCTTGCTGCCACGTGGGGATGGGGGTAGGGGTGGTTTTAATCTTTATCCATAACTCATTAGTTAATTAGGTAATATTCCGTTACCCAATAATTAACCAATTTTCCACATAATTAGAAATTATCTCAACTTACTTAAAATACTACTTACTTTTAACATACCATGTACACCTTACTATCATGGTCATGTAGTACTTTGTATGGCACTAGTCCATAAATATTGGGTATTATCGCTCGGACCGTATTTTATCCCAAATCGACAACCTTCAACGAAACTCATTTTCTTTGATTCGTTTACCCTTTATCCTTCACGGCACTTACTTATCGCTTGTTATAAGTAGCATAAATGCGTATAACCTCAAGACAACCTCATCCTCGAGTCTACGTCGATTAACTTATAACGAAACTTTTACGTACGAAATGCAGGATATAGTAGCTTTTGAGTTGCTTTTGGCTAGTTTCGAGCCGTTCGGAGGTTGATACGCGTGGGATGGCATTTCTAGAGAGTTGTTTTGCTTGCTCAGTAATTATTTTGGCTTGTTTGAGGTAAGTATCTTATCTAAACTTGGTTGAGGCACTAGTTGCCTGAATTATTTATGATAGCTACATGTTGTGGGTGCACATATGTGTGGGGTTTGAGCTCATGTGCGAGCACCGGGGTATTTATCCATGCTCGGGGTAGTGCTTAGGCTATGATATGCCTAGAATTAACTATTAAGCTCTAAGCTATGATGTTTCTCGTATTTGTAACATTGTTGTGAACTATTTGAACCATGTTTAAGATTACGAAAAAGCTAATTCCATGAATAAACTTGGAAATTGTTATTTCTGTGATGAAATTACCGATTTGAGCCATGATAGCACACTTTGCTCATGCATACACTTTAGCATATCACTTATACCAGTCTAGGAGTATGAAGTCTGATATTCTTTAATCACATACATGTATTCTTGTATATTTGCTTCCGTGTGATATGATTTGGACTGGGTAAGGCGAATTGTGATATTAGCACGTGAGTTTTCTGTGCAACACATGAGTTGTACGTGCAGATTGATATTATTAGCACATGAGTTATCCGTGCAGCACGTGAGTTGTTCGTGCTGATCCAGGAATTGATATTATAGCACGTAAGTTGTCTGTGCAGCACGTGAGTTATCCGTACAACATGTGAGTTGTCCGTGCGGTTGATGTTATTAGCACGTGAATTGTCTGTGCAGCATGTGAGTTGTCCCTACAACGTGTGGATACGGATCCATCCCCTATGGTCACCCTCTCATGTTTCTCTCTTGATGGTGTACACGCGGATTGTGAGAAACCGATGGGTTTCTGGTTGATGTGAGCTCTGGGAGAGCTGGTTACTATTATTAAATCGGGTTGCGCGACGCAATGGACTGATATGTAGTTATTGCATTTTATCTTTACTTGTAATTTCCTTGACTGTTTACCTGATTTACTTGCATATCTTCCTTATATGTTGGATTGATGACTCAGCTGAACAATTTAAAACAAAGAATTGTGAGCATCAAGGTGGTTTTACCTTAGATTTCCTGATTTGATCATATATCTGATCTATACTTGTCGAAATTATGAACTGTACAGGTGTTAGTGAGTATCATTTATAGTTCTTGCTTCTTTTACCTCGCCGAGGTTAGTTAGGATACTTATTGAGTATATGAGGTCGATTGTACTCAAACTACATGGAGTTGATGTTGCTGTGTATGGCGAGCTGGCATTGAAGATCCACCCGCGTCCCAGTTATGGCTATCAGTTGTCCTTGGTAGCTTTAGATTCGAATTATGTTTATGTACATTTCAAACAGATGTTGTATTTATTTCATTTCAGTTTTGTAAATCTAAGTCTTAGTGACTCATGACTTATACTACCACTCCTTGGGGAGTTGTATAAAATTCAGTTATTTCATTTTTTACTCTTATCATTATCATTATATCGTGTTTTATCGTTATTTGGATTACCTAGCGGGTTGGGTTAGGTGTCATCACGACGAGTTGTATTTTGGGTCGTGACAGTTTGAGATTTAGCATTCTCGCTGGTAGCTTCATTAGTCGACTTTGAAATTTCATTGATATTGTCAGTCAATTTTCTCGAATTGATTTGTTCACTGATCTTGGGTTGATTTTGGTTGATATCTTCGTCACCTGCAAGGACTCCTTTCTCGGCCATAGAGTTATTATCATCAAAAATGACATGAGCAGATTCTTCTACACACAAGGTACATTTACTATAGACTCTAAAAGATCTACTATTATTAGAGTAACCGAGAAATATACCTTCATCACTTCTTAGATCAAACTTACCAAGATTTTCTTTACCATTATTATGGACAAAGCATTTGCTTCCAAAAGGGTGAAAGTACCCAATGTTAGGTCTCTTGCCTTTCCATAATTCATATGGAGTATTCTTCAGAATGGGTCGAATCAAACATCTATTTAGTATATGACAGGATGTGCTGACTGCTTCTGCCCATAAGTGATTTGGTAGAAAATGCTCCAATATCATGGTTCCTGCCATGTCCTGCAGAGTTCTATCTTTGCGTTCCACTACCCCATTTTGCTGTGGTGATATTGGTGCTTATGAGTATATCCTTGTTCATTGCAGAATTCTTCAAATGATCTGCTTTCAAATTCTCCTCCATGATCACTTTGAATAATTGAGAAAAGGTACTCATCTTCTCTTTCTATCTTTTTGCAGAAGATCTCAAAGTTCTTTAGAGCTTCATCTTTGTGAGCCAAAAATATTACCCATGTAAAACGTGAGTAATCATCAACAACAACGAAAGCATAAATTTTTCCTCTTATACTGGCAGTTCTGGTAGGTCCAAATAAATCAATATGCAGAAGATAAAGAGGTTTGATTGTGGAAACAATATCTTTGGGTTAGAAAGAAGTTCTAGTTTGCTTACCAAGTTGACATGCATCACACACATGATTTCTCGAAAAGTTGAGCTTAGGGAGACCAGTAACTAGTTCATGCCTACAGAGTTTTTCAATCAAATGCATGCTGGCATGACCAAGCTTTTTGTGCCAAAGACAAAGATCATCAGAGATAGATGCTAGATAGATATGACTATCCAGATTATCAATGCAATCTAAAATGTAAACATTTCCATACCTTTTTCCTGGAAGAATGATTTTACCTGATTCATCTTCAATAGCACAATCAGTTTTCTTGAAATTCACTTCATATCCAGAGTCGCATAGTTGACTGATGCTTAGCAAATTATAATGTAGTCCGTCTACAAGATAAAATTCAGTAATGTCACAGTTATTATTAAACAGGACTGATCTGGTACCAACAATTTTGCCTTTTGAGTCATCACCAAACTTGACATTTTCTCTATTGATTTTGGTGACTTCTTTGAATAGATTTTTGTCATTCGTCGTGTGACTGGAACAGGCAATGTTGAGATACCACTTTCATTTTCCGACTTTCCTATGGTGTTCCTACAAGGAAAGATTATTACCTTCTTTTAGGTACCTAAGCTTGCTTGGGTCCTTTTTGGTTAGTTCTATTAATATCATGGTCATTTTTAGGCTTCCAGATCCATCCGACAACATTTGAGTTACAAAATCTACAAAAGGAATACTTATGACCAGTTTTATTGCAATAATGACAAACAGTGATGGATTTTTCACTGGATCTACTAGTGGTGTCTTTACTAGTAGTATCATTTCTAGCAAGTCGTTTGCCAGTTGACTTACAGGTCGCTTGGTTAGACCTGACAGAACTGTTACTGGTGGATTTGTGCATGCCATTGAGTTGCAATTGCAATTCCTGAACTTCTCTTGAAGAACATCTCTTTCGATTTCACATACTTCAAGTTTAAGTTCCCAGTCATTCTTTTCCCTATTGAGTCTCTTTAATTCATTTAACATTCTTTGAGACTCTTTTAGGCTAAGATCAAGAATATCCTATAATTCATTACATCTTTCACAGATATAGTGTCTTATTTCACCGCGTGCCATGAAGCAATTTTTAGTTTCTTCTTTGTTGTCATCGTCTGATACATCTTCATCGGTCCAGCAACTAGAGTATTTGTTCATATCATTTTCCAAAATGGTCATGAAACATAAATTTGATATTTCTTCATGTTCTGAGTTGTCTTCATCGCTCCAGCTTCTGAAGGATTTGCTCTTATTGAAACCTCTGGAGACTTTCCTTTTGAGTTTCGGGCATTCAGCTTGAACATGGCCATAGCTTCCACATTCAAAATATTTTCCATTATTTTTGTCTTGTTCATTGAATTGTCTGGTTCTTCTGGATGACATTCTTCCCCTTTTTTTGTTTTTGCATCTTCTCATCAATCCATTCATATTTCTCGGGACCATGGCAATTTCTTCTTCCAGTGCCTCTGCATCATTATTCTCAAAAGCTATAAGGTCGCCACGTAATTCATCATATGACAATTTGTCCAGATCTTGAGATTCAAGTGCAACTACTTTTGTGTGTCATATAGTGGGCAAACTTCTTAGAATTTTTTGAACTTGTTCTCCACTGGAGTATGGTCTACCAAAAGCTTTCAGATCTCCTATGATTTTGTTGAATCGTGCATACATTTCTTCAATGGATTCACCATCTTTCATCTGAAAGAGCTCATAGTCATGAACCAATAGATTTATCCTTGTTTCTTTCACTTTGCTCGTTCTTTCATAGGTAACTTCTAGTTTGTCCCACATTTTCTTAGCTGTATCACAGCTTGAGATTTTCTCATACTCTTCTCCACTGATTGCATTATATAACAGATTTCGTGTCTTAGCATTAACTTGGATTACTGTCATTTGCTCAGCAGAATAGTCGTCTATATCTTCTGGATCAGTGGATGATTGTCCTTCAACTTTCTTCTCAGACTTTGCTGCTGGAAGTGGATAGTTTCCCTTTTTGATTACACGTCACACCTTGACATCGTAGGACTTCTCATATAAATCCATGCGAACTTTCCAATGAGAGAAGTGATGTCTATTAAAATATGGAGGCCTTACCTGAGATGTCCTTTCTTGAAATAGTGCCCTAACAGTTACTTGGTTTGACATGATCTTTTCTCACTAGTTGTTAAGCAAAAGGATAAATATGTGAGACCTGCTCTGATACCAATTGAAAGTACAAGAGGGAGGTGAATTGTTATTCTTCGTTTTCTTTAATGAAGTAGTTGATTGATTTTCCTGTTAGTCGACTGAATCCTTGATGCGAGATAGATGTATGTAAATACAGAAAGTAAACTGCAGAAAATAAATGACACCAGATGTTTTCTCACTAGTTGTTAAGCAAAAGGATAAATATGTGAGACCTGCTCTGATACCAATTGAAAGTACAAGAGGGGGTGAATTGTTATTCTTCGTTTTCTTTAATGAAGTAGTTGACTGATTTTCCTGTTAGTCGACTGAATCCTTGATGCGAGATAAGATGTATGTAAATACAAAAAGTAAACTGCAGAAAATAAATGACACCAGATGTTTTATACTAGTTCAGATTTAATGTGAATCCTACTTCAGTCCCCTTGGATTGCAAGGGAGTACTCTTTTGAGTATTTTGAAATCTTTGGTACAAGTGTGTTGATGTTGTTGAACATACACCAACAGCTTCTTCACAGTATAAGTTCTCTTTATTTTTATACAATGCCTCACCAGTGATTCTTTTCTCTTTCTTCTCTCCACTAGTTACACAGTAAATCTAGAATAGACTACAATACTTGTTTGGAGTAGAACAAAAAAATTGGTAATGGTTCGATCAAAGTATGTTCCTTCCGTTGAGTCTCTTGCTGAATTTATATAATTTGAGGGCAAGTCTTCTTTGATATGACAGATCCTTAGATGATGGGCAACCCAAGGGAGTTGATCCTTCGAATGAATCTTGAATTGATTCCTTCCCAGGAGGGAGGAACTTTCTATGCATCTTTTTCTTTCGGAAATAAGGAAAGGAGATTCTATTTTCATAGCTATGATGATTCTTTTGCCTCTTTTCTAATTCATTTATCTGTTAAATCTCCTGCAAAAGAAACTTTCATCCGACTTTGCAGCTTGTAAATGGTACGTATTAGTTTTGTTCTCGAAAATGCAAACCATAGTGAGATACTCCTATAACTAAAATAAGACATAAGCCGAAATTCAGATGTTACTAAGCTATTTCATAGATTTCGCAACGTTGCACTCACCAGCCCCCACTCATCAAAACCATGTTCTCATATTCTCATGTTGTTAACATTCTTTCCTGTTGCTTTTCTTTTAAAAAAAGCCAAGCAAAGATAATCTCACAGAAGCTACACGAACGAAAGCATACAGAAACAATAGTCCTCTTATCACCGAATTTCAGAATACAACCATACAAAGTTTTCTATTAGTATTAATAGTCATCGCCTCTCGATACCACCTCTTTGCAAGTCGGACGAAGTAAAATGGTGTGCTCAAACTGAGAAACGTAACTCCCTTTAATATCGCAAAGTGGGGGATATGGCTGCCAAAAGAAAAGCAAAAGAGAGTAAAACTTCAATTTTGGATCACATGGAGATGGAAATTGTGCAACTTTAGGATCATATGGAGACAGATATTGTGCACAAGATGCAAAGAAAATTGCTAGTAGATTAACTGATGCGTGCCAAAAAACTTTGAGCTCAACTAATACTCAAACTAATATGGCATCAATATTCCCTGGGGTCCAACTTCCAGTTATTTATGCTGTCTACTATTAACAAGACTTCAAATGCATGAATGACTGACTCTATAAAATATCATAAGCAAAGGGTTTATTAGTTCACAAATATAATAATAACAACTAAGCCTCAGTTTCATACAAGTTGGAGTCGACTATATAACTCCTCACTAGCCATGTTTCTCCATTGGCCAACATTATATCAAATAATAATAATAATAATAATAATAATAATAATAATAATAATAATAATAATAAGTAAAAAGCACTAGTCCTCTATATTTTTTTACCGGCATAAACATATATGATAGGTCTAAGTGACTCTTAGAAAGCATAGAAATGTAAATATACTAACACGACTAAACTATAGGTCTAACTAATTTTTATATCCTATATAGATTTTTTCCTTCCATTGTGTTCTATCTTCCGCTAAGTTTGCATGGATTCCAAGAAATTGTAGGTCTACCGAGAAAATTTCCTTCCATGTAATTTTAGGTCTACGCTGTCTCCCTTTTAAAACCTTCATTCATCATCGTTTCACACCTACGGACTGGGTGCATGTGGAGGTCGACTGAGGACATGATCAAACCATCTTAAGCAACCTTCTTGTAAATGTGGACATTTTTAATCTTGTCTAATTAGTTCAAAATTAGAGAATAAATTCAAATCTAAGATTCATATGCTACATCTAAACTCCTCCAGTCTTAAAAGTGCTCATCTTACAACTATTGTATTCATTAGAATTTTGATCACCATGGCACAAAAGGCACATAATGCCTCGGATGTAAATAAAATCGACCTATCAATGCAATCACAAGAAACAGAAAAGAGACTAGGCTAGGAGAGCAAATTATACTTCTCTTGCCACCACAGAAGCGTCACTTAAGCTAATGCACATGAATCTTACCCGATGACTGAGCCCCAAAAAACTGGAACAGAAACAAAGGCTAGTCAATTTCCCAAATCTATCCCAAACAATGAAACTACCAATTCCCGCAAGCAATTTAGGTCTTGGAAGAAGAGAGAAGAGAAGAACTCGATCAATTGGTTAACATACAAGAAGCTATATATAGGAGTCTTCAGTTACATGATAAGAGTTTCCTATTTCTTGGCATTCTACATTATGAGGATATTCTTGACCATATTCTTAATTAATTTTCCTATATATATATATATANGTACAGGTCTATGTGAAAATATAAGAGAAAAACTCTCTTTGAGTTTGACTATTAACGACATAGACAAGACTCTGTTATATACTCCACCGCTTCAATTTATGTCTCATTTTCCTTGTCTGTTCCAAAAAAAAAATGCCACCTTTAATAGTAAGCTTGTAGTTCTAACATCTCCATTTCACCCTTAATGACATGCCATTTTTAAGACCACAAGATTCAAAAAATATTTTGGATTTGATATATACACCATTAGTAGTTTTTAGTTCTAACATTTCCATTTTACCTTTTACGCATCTAACTAGCTCGCGTGGTTCACCGGTTCCACCGACTAGACCAAAAGGTCGATCCAGAGGTGAGCTTAATGACATGCCATTTTTAAGACCACAAGATTCAAAGGATATTTTGATATTGATATACACACCATTAGTTTATGACCACAAGATTCAAAAATCTTCGTTACATTCTTAAACTTCGTGCCAAGTCAAGTTAACACATAAAATGAAACGGAGGGAGTACAACTATTCGAGTTTACAAGAAATAACGAAGTTTACTAATCCTTGAGATTATTAATTATGGCATAATTATAAGATTTTTATTCACAATATCAATCAGGAGTTCTTTATATTCTTGTTTTGGTTTTTCCATTAGATTGGATGGAGCTTTTTGAGCTCCAACACCAGTCTTTATCTCTTTCTTTTTTTTATTTGAGCTCCAAAACCATTCTCTTCTACAGCCCATGATCTCTCTATTATTGATCCTATCTTCTTTTCCTTTATACCTGTTCTCACTTGTCCGAAAATTTCCTATTAACATCTTCCTTCATCATCGTTATTGATTTCATCTTAACAAAAGCACACCTCCTTCGGCCAAACTACTAATAGAATTTAAAACCGAAATGCCTCACTTGCACAGTTGCTACACACACTACATGGAATTGCTTTGTCCTCAGTAGCCCTACCACGCTGAGCTGTTTCTTATGAAAAATAGTTACAGTATTTTAAAATATTGGGAATCAACCACAGACAATCCCCCTTTTTTTAGAAAAGAACTTCTTTATCTAATTGGATTAAGCCAAATTGATCTTTTTGTTACCAGCAAACCTGGCATTAGTTCATTCAGTTGCAATAAGAATTATTCAGCAAGACAAGCAGAGAGATTTAGTCTTTCTTGTTGTCGTTCAGAATTTCTGCTGGATTTAATAAATTGATGTGACATGGATGTTTTACATGGACCTCTCCTTTTGGATTTACCCTAAGTTTCCTCAAAAGTTTCAAAGAACTTTTTATCTCCAGATGTACACATTATTTACCTATGAATTCATAACAACAGAAGAGTTGTGCTAGATAAATCAGGAGAGAGCTAACCAAAGAAATCAGGATTCAACTTATTTATTAATGAACTTCAAAATTTCATTGAATTAGCGGGAGAAAAACCAAGTTCCACAAAACTATCGAAAGTTACTAGAAATTTCAGTAGTCTTGTTTAGACATAATATCCCTGAACTAACTATATTCCATTTATTTTCTCTTTATAAACATTAATTCAGTACTTGAATTTTGCACCCAATACCCCTGCTTGTCATAGAAATTTATCCTTAAGTTCTCTGGCCAAGAGTTCCTTGGCAATGATTGTAGAAGAAACTGACTTGCTATTGTATGAGTTCAAGATTATACCAAATCTTGCTTAAAAGTATATTATAATTCCACAACAATGTCAAACAGTTGAAATATTTACAGTAAAACAACTCCGTTTATAAATGAATGCAGCCAAGCCTGAATGCCACAATTGAGGCGAACTAGTGAATGTAGCTTGAGGTCACACTTACCTGAACAATTCCAGCGTCACATAAATTCTTCAATGCCATCAGATATTTTGTCTCACCAAGGCGGTCTAGATAACGTCTGCAGAACGCCAATGTGGAGAAGTTCTTATTTATTGTTGCCAGCAGTTGCTTGGCTCTGGGCAGCCGCAGTGGAATGTGTCCAATATCAAAGTTTTTCATATAATGGCTGCATTCTAGATCTTCCCTCACATAACCCTTCCCTGATACATGGAGATATGAGATGCGAATTAGTTGACTCCCATGTATTCAGGATTTGCCAGTTATATTAATGTTACTCTTTCACACAAGCAAAGCGGAAATTACCTGTTGATCCAAAGGTCTCAATTGCATAAAATTCACCCTCGTCCATTTTGGTTTGTTCTCCTCCTTT